TTTTACTTAAAAAAAATCCCAGAATTGCACAAAAATGGCATTGCGCACACTCTTCACTATACCCGTGTACACTGCTTTTTTCTCATAAATTAGAAAAATTTCACGAAATGCATGAAAATACTCAACATATACTACTCAAACGTATTCCAAAATACTACAAACATATAACTCACAAAATCACGATCATTAAATTAAAAAACACTACTTAAAATATAAATAAGCACATACATTAAATTAATAAAAATTAGATTACAATCCTAATTACTTTAAACTAAATCCTTGCTAATAACAATTTTCCAATAATACCATATTAATTTATTTACTCCTTACATTTAGAACAATGCATAAAAATAATATCCTCAAATGATTAAAAATACTAACTTACCTAATCTTCTTCAGAATCTTCATTACGTGGCACACACACTTCCCTACAGAAAGAGCTCCAATTGGCTGCAGTACTACTGCTAATTTCTAAATCCGAAATCCAGTAGTCAACTGGCAGTCTATTCACCCAGTAATAACAAATTAATAAAATTTCATCCATACTCAAACTACTTTCAGCAAATCATGTACTCTTCCTTACACTCCGTTTCACAAAATGTCCATTTTCACCAGATTTCTTGCACCGCCATTCAAACTTATCTGTAATATCCTTCCTTTCACACATCTCATTTCCAATGTTGGACATTCATACTTATCCGCAATTAATTACTCGTATACCATTCAACCAATTCTTTTGAATTATCAGATAAATGCATTAAAAATTTAGAATTCACTTTACATAGCGCCATGCAATCCGAAAATTAATCAACACTATTTCACACAACACACAATGAAGCTTAATACAAAATAATATAATACTACAGATATTTTTCCAAATTTTTACTCCTTTTTCCGATTAAAGAACTGTAATTCGTCCATTAATGTCACATGACATATCTCATGATCTCTCATTTCCCTTACACAAAATAATGTGTAATCGGAACTGAGTACTTCTCAGATTATTACCAAAGTCCTAGGTAATAACCTTTATCGCCTCCAAAATGTCGCCAAACTAAATGTTACCATATTCCAAAGACAGTGTCGTAGCTAGGGTAGGGCAAAGGGGGACATCTGTCCCCAATCGTAGCATCGAGAGGGCCCCAAATTGTAATTAAGAAATTTTAGAATGAAATGTTTTCCATTCTTGGCACACAGAAGGAGGCGCAAAATCTTCAGTTGTCTCCGGGCGCTGAAAACTCTAGCTACGCCTCTGTCCAAAGATCAGTCAAATTTGACATTCTCAAAACATGAATATTTTCGTCATTTAAAACATTTCTGTAATTAGAAGTGCATGATTACGAGCAACGACTATGAAAATAAAAACCAGGTAAGGACTTTCAAGCTAGGTGGATCTACATATTGGTACTTAACGAATGCAATAAAAAATAGAGGAGTACAGTTAGATGTTATAGCAGCCCCATATATAAAATTTCAATGTTCAACGGCCAATCGTTCTTGAGGTAATGCGAGATATATGTACATAGACTTGTACGCATAGATGCCATGAAAAATACCATTTGAATCCATTTTGGATAACAATTTTATTCTACCCTTATGTAGCGACTACACTAAAAAAATCGTCTAATCATTCGGAAAACATCAAAATGGATATTTCCATTTAAATAAGATACCAAAAATTTTTCATGATTAAAATACAGTCAAGAGTCGTTAATCCGGACTCGTCGGGACTTCGCCGATTCCGGATTATAGATCATCAGTTTAAATCTGGTAAGATGGCATGCAGAAATTACAAAATTAAAAATATGAAACCGTAATTTATGAAATAAAGAACAATTATGATCTAAAGGGTATCAAAATTTACAAAAAGAAAAAGCTTAATGTTTATTTGTTTACTTTATTAAACATTTCTTTCAATGTAAGTTGCTTCGTTTCATGTGATAATACTTTCTCTTTAATTCTATTAAACAGACATAATTTCTTGTTTAGTTACAAAGTTCCGCTGTTCAAGTCCTATAATTGCTGTGTTGAGAATACCGACTAATTTGTCAATCGAAATGTTTTCGTTTTCAATAACCTCTGGGTCACTTTCTTCACTATCAGAAGCGAATTATAATGACGAGGAACTTGATTTAAATCATATCGAAGACGGAGTACATCGAAATGAAATACTACACTTAGTACGGAATTATAAACCAAATAAAATAAAAACATCTGCCCTGAAGATAAGGATAGTGCTGACAGATCAACTTCCAATCCGCCGCGTGAAATTGATAAACAGATTTCGGATTTCAAAACATACTTTTGCTTTGTAGATACAAATTACATATTAGTAAATATATATCGGAAATTCTATTTGACATAATCTTTCTAATCTATCATAATCTAATAATGACGTTTCTGCCCCCCTTCCTCTGCCGCAGAGCAGCGTGAAATTGATAAACAGATTTCGGATTTCAAAACATACTTTCGCTTTGTAGAAAATATATATCAGAAATTCTATTTGACATAATCGAAAGTTCAAGCTTACTTTTATAAAATTGCTTTAACAGTCTGCAAAAAATAATAAGCCGGATCCATTTCGAAGATTAAGGAACAACGCAATCTGCAACATTAACTGAATTAGATAACTTTAGCTTAGCGTATAACTCCGTTACACATTAAACGCGCATGCGCACAAACATATTCGCAGCCGTAAGGGTCTTACGCGCTCTCGTAAACGCCTGTGCGCATGCGTGAACGCGACGCATGCGCAGAAAGTTTGTAGCTTTGAGGTCCGGATTATGGGTGTCCGAATTAAGGACTTTTGACTGTACATCCTTTTTACTTCGTACAAAAGAGTAAAAACAATAAAGGAATAAACATAAAACAAGAGCATGACATGATGCTTTTAAGATCCTACCAAAACTTCTCATACCACAAAAGTTTAAATGTAAACAATACAAAGAAAAAAAATATAATTTAATTATATTACTTAACTAAATGCAGTCTATAAACATTTGAAATAAATAAAATCTCACTATGGCATGATCAAGGATAAAATCAATAATCATCTAAATTATACATTAAAACATTATGTGTTTATACTGCATAGACACACATAATATGCATCATAAATTTTAATGTACACAAAATAGGATACTACTCTTATATACGCTGTCAGATATATGGCTTTGCTAAATGTGGTGATGTGTGTTTTGCACTGGTTTTTGGCGCAATGTTATTTGTATGGCATGTTTTAACGTCGAAACTTTTATTTTGATGGAGTGGTTGGTTGGTTGAGTGGGCATTTTGAAATGGCTTATGTTGCAATGAAAGATGTGGTGGCAAAATTTCAGCTGCATATTTTGAACTGTGTGCAAGGCAAATTTAGTATTAAAAGGTACGATGTTGGAGTTGTTAACAAGACATTTGTTCACACGGATTTTATTCACAAATGTATGCTGGACTTTGTATGCTCTGTGTCTCAGAAGATACGGTAGAAGGATAAAGTGGAAATTGATGAGTTTTGCTGATGTTTGAAATTGATATTTCTTTTGTTTGAAGAAGCATTCACAATGGGAAGTCCATTTTATTTTATTGTTGTTATTTTGTAGAATGTTATGTTCATTGTTTTTGCTGCGAATTTCTGTTGTTATTGTTGTTTTTTAAATGTTTGTAATTTATTTTAGTTATTTGTTGATTTGTGCGCAATGCCGAGGCTGTGCACGATACCTAGATTGAGCAATTCACTTATGTTTAAGTTAAAACGGAACCCTATGTACATGGTATAGTTTGAAATTTATTGTTATGTTAGTTTATTTTAGCGAGGTGTACGTAATTCCTAGATTCCTATGCTGCACAGATTGTGCAATTCTCTGACACTTTTTTTTTAAAGTTAAAAACAGATCGCTGTGTACATGGATTCTTGTCAAATATGTTTGGTTAGAAACTTTAGGTTTTTGCTATCAAAATTTTTTGTTTTGGATTTTTCGCATAAATTGTGCGTTAAAATGGTTTTTGCAAGTGCAAAAACCGCATTTTTACTTACACTTTAGGCTTGAAGTTTGAAATGTAAACAAAAAATTTAGATAGTAATATGGCGTCGTGGACTTTCTCGCCAAAGATGTTTGGCAAGAAATTTGTCACCAACTGAGGGTGTGTATAAAAGTAGTTCCAAAAATAGCACAGAACAGTATTATTTCAACTAAGACACATAATGTAAAGAACAGTTTGTACACAAATTTTTCAAAACTTGCAATGAACTAAAAAAAATTCAAAATTACCAACCAAAAAATATGTGCATATTGTGTACGTGTGCGACACACATTCATTCGCTGACCAAAGTGTCCCAGAATGCCATGTTTCTTTCGTATTGTAAATTCGAACAGTAATCACATTAAACTGTCATACAATAAATGCAAGTAACGAAATGAATTTGTGAGTACCGATTCGGTACTTCAAGTCAAGATGTGCTCGTTACTGGATAACGAATACATGTGGTTTACTTCAGCTCTATAACATAATACTAAAAATTAAGGAGGTTTTAAAAAATGGGGTAAAAGTTTACAATTGGCTGCCCCTTGTTTTCGCGATTCTTTTTTTATGCCAAGATCGGCGCCAGGAAGGCCCAATTTCAAGATGTCCACTACACAAAACCAAAATAAGAAGTCAAGGAATTGCACAAACTCTGTGTCCATGTACAAATCGATCTGTTTTCACTTAAAAAAACATCTCAGAATTGCACAAACTAGGCATTGCACACTGTCTTAAATTTGTCTATGTACACATCAATCTATTGTCATTTAAAAAAAAATTAGGAAGATAAAACAAAGTTAAAACTATCATGGTAACCAGAAATGAGGTTTTATAGCCAAAATGTTTTTTAAAAATTTGTCGCTAATCGAAGGGGCATCTAATTCTACACTAGAGCCAAAACGGAATGAATTGATATAAACATGTCTGAAGGCAAAATATAACACAAAGTTCCTGTTAAGTTTTAATCTTAATACCAAACTTACAACACTTTTTTCACCAACATCTTGTTTGTACTTCCATATGAGCAGCTGACGCCCACAAACCAAGCTGGCATATCCAAAAGGTTCCAGTTTCACAGATACGTCTGTTATTCCTTTAAAACAGAAATGCATTTTATTATTAAAATCATATAAGATTCTTTAACTTAAAAATCAAAGATATGTGTTACTTACTATCTGCAACAGTTATTGCTTCAGTAACAAGAACCGGCAAAGGGCAGCCGTAACATTCTATTAAGGCATTTTGTGGATTTCCGAAAACAGATTCGTTAAAACTCTGACCAAGTACACTTTTTGAGAAACTAGAAAAGAAGCAATAAATAATAATAAGTCAATAAGAAAATGCAACATGAAAAATTTTTTTGCGCAAAAATCTACAACATTACCTTGTAGTTAATGATCTTAAAGATGGCGATAGAAACGGACTACTCTTTCTTCCTCTTTGCATTTTTACTCCAGAAAGCGGTGTCTTACTGAACGGTGAATACATTTCTGAAATAATTAATTTCCTTATGTTTGAGCCGGTCTTTGTTTTCTTGATAGTTACAAATACCATATAATTTAAAAAATACAATATAAAATTATAAACAAAGAAAAATAAAAACTACATATTTCAATTATAATTATAGATGATGCCGCATTTCGAAAGCAAACACAAATTTCGCTCTCAAAGTATCCAGTCACAGTTATAAAAATATGCAAAGAAAAAAAAAATAAAGGAAACAATGTGATAAAATTTGTAAACTATGAATATTAATTAATGAAACAATGGTTATTACATAGATTAAAACCTTTTTTATTTCACTTATAAATTAATATAACCAAATATTTTATAATTATATTAATTTTTCCCTTTCACCGCTACTAAAAAAAAGGAATTTATTCTGGCCCTTAAGATTATGAATTTTAAAACAATAGAAAATTTGCATAATTTTTTCCCGTTAGTTAATGATTTTTGTTCAAGATTTAAATATCATATCATCAGGTTTTATATCACCTAACCATGAATTCCCCCCCCCCCCAAATATTCATTTTTCGCTCTGCGGGTAAAAAAAGTAAGAGAGTGGACTAATTTAAATTCTTCTTTTGAGTGTAATAAATAAAATCTCGCAATGAATTTTGTACCTAATATGTCAAATTATGCTCGGCGAATGGCCCGATTGAGTGCAAGAATTTTTGGAGAAGTTTCGCGCCCGACTGACAGTAAATCTATGAAAGTTGTTCGCATATTAAGTCAACAGCCAAATGACTTGAATCCTTATGTTGTGGATCATTACCCTCCGCACGTTGAATATTCAAAATTAATAAGAGTTCTGAGAGAGCATGGACTTTTCAGGTATGCTTTTTTAGTTTAGTTCTGGTTATATTTTTTGTTTAAAAGGAACATTGCTACAGCAATGAATGTTTCGGAATATCTCGGATCATTAATTGTATAAATGATAACTTGGCTAATCTTTGGAATATGGTAACAGGTAGTTTGGCGACATTTTGGTAAGGCGATAAAGGTTACTAGCTAGGGCTTTAGCAGTGTACATGGATAAAGTGAAGAGTGTGCGCAATGGCATTTTTGTGCAATTCTTGGGATGTTTTTTTGGCTCTAGTGTAGAATTGGGTGCCTCTTCGATTAGCGACAATTTTTTTCAAATTTCGGCGATGAAACCTCACTTCTGGTTACCATGATAGTTTTAACTTTGTTTTAGCTTCCTGATTTTTATTTAAATGAAAATAGATTGATGTGTACATGGACAAATTTAAGCCAGTGCACAGTGCCTAGTTTGTGCAATTCTAGGATGTTTTTTTAAGTGAAAACAGATCGATGTGTACATGTACACAGAGTTTGTGTAATTCTTTGACTTCTTATTTTGATTTTGTATAGCGGCCATCCTTGAATTGTGCCTTTCTGGTGCCGATCTTGGCGTCAAAAAAGAAGGGGCACCCAATTGTAAACTTTTACCGTTTTTTTAAGTGAAAATAGGTCGACGTGTACATGGATGATACCGTGTATGTATAATTCTTAAAAATGCGGCAAGCAGTGGGCGATTCTGCACTTTCTCCCAATTTTGCATCTAATCTTCATCATGATTAAGCACTTTTGTTCCATAAAAGTTCTAGCATAAGCGTAATTCGGCTAGCAGATTGTTGGAAAAAAATGTTGAGTAAAAAAAAAAAAAAAAACATGCCTTTACTTCGTGAAAACAAAATGGCGTCCAAAACAAAACTAGCAGGTTGCTGTAGCAGGGTTGGTCGCCAAATTTTCACCAAAAAATCTCCAAGTTACCATAATCCAAAGATTAACCGATAACTTCAATATATTTTAACTTTTGGTTAATCTTTGGATTACGGTAACGTGGCGATTTCTTGGCAAAAATTTGGCGACCAACCCTGATACAGCAACCTACTAGTTTTTTTTTTTTTTTTATGCCATTTTGTTTTCACGAAGTAAAGGTATTTTTTTTTTTTTTACTCAACATTTTTTTCCAACAATCTGCTAGCCAAATTACGCTTATGCTAGAACTTTTATGGAACAAAAGTGCTTAATCATGACGAAGATTAGGTGCGAAATTGGGAGAAAGTGCAGGATCACCCACTGCTTCCCGCGTTTTTAAGAACTGCACATACACGGTATCATCCATGTACACGTCGACCTATTTTCACTTAAAAAAACATCCCAGAATTGCATAAAAATGGCATTGCGCACACTCTTGACTTTATCCATGTACACTGCTAAAGTCCTAGATAGTAACCTTTATCGCCTTACCAAAATGTCGCCTAAGTACCTGTTACCATATTCCAAAGATTAGCCAAGGAAAAACATATCAATAGATTTCAAGCGGAAGTTCCGCACACACTCCTCATGACCTTCATTAGCAGCTTTTATAGTAATGATCATAATTATCATTACGTTCACAAAATTATATTCGAAGTAAAAAGTTAGGCTAATCTTTGGAATATGGTAACGCGTAGTTTGGCGACATTTTGGTAAGGCGATAAAGGTTACTAGCTAGGACTTTAGCAGTGTACATGGATAAAGTCAAGAGTGTGCACAATGCCATTTTCTGTGCAATTCTGGGATGTTTTTTAAAGTGAAAATAGGTTGACGTGTACATGGATATCGTGTATGTGCAGTTCTTAAAAACGTGGCAAGCAGTTTGTCATTCTGCACTTGCTCCCAATTTCGCACCTAATCTTCGTCATGATTAAGCACTTTTGTTCCATAAAAGTTCCAGCATAAGCATAATTCGGTTAGCAGATTGTTGGGAAAAAATGTTGAGTTAAAAAATATATATATATGCTTTTACTTCGTTAAAACAAAATACGTACAAACAAAAACTAGCTGGTTGCTGTAGCAGGGTTGGTCGTCAAATTTTCGCCAAAAAATCGCCAAGTTACCATAATCTAAAGATTAACTCTTTTCCTTTACTAGAATTGATTTGGAAGACAAATAGGGTAAAGTGCAGAATCGCCCACTTATTTGTATGGCGCTTTTTATAAAAGGAATTGGATTTTTGTCGATTTTCTTTGACTTTTTAAGTGAAAATTGGTTGATGTGTACAGGGGTTAAATCAAGGCTGTGCGCAATGCCATTTTTGTGCAATTCTGGTTTTTTTTTAAAGTGAAAATAGGTCGATGTATGCATACCGAGTATGTGCAATTCTTAAAAACGCGCCAAGCAGTGGGCGATTCTGCACTTTCCCCGACAAATACTATAATTCTGTCACTTAGTATAATATTTCATGCTGAATTATATTCAGGATTGTGGGTTATTTCGCTCAAATTTCAGGATTATACTGCTTTAATTTCTAATAATGGGATTTTTTATATTGCAAAATTGAATCTGTCCTTTTTTTTCAAAAAATTTTAAAATGATCATTATTATTTATCGCCTCTTTTTCAACAAGTCCGTTCTTGAAATAATTAGGTAACCATAATTTTCCAATTTTTTTGGGTCGCAACCCAGTCTTTCAGTGATTCAATGGTGTCCCTCTTATATAAAGTGTACTATATTATATCGGGTTGGCAAGAAAGTAATTTCAGTTTTTACTGTGAAATTTTAGAAATGATCAGTTCGAGCTATAAGCAAGATCAGAAGATTAGTCTATAGAATTATCAAACTTATCTCCAGATTTTTAATGTGTAACATGTTAGCTTTCAGACTGTTTTGATTTCAAAGTTATTTACCTGATATCATCATTCAGTAGTTTTCTTCCTCTTATTTCTAATCAATTGGGGGGGGAGGAAGTAGAAAGAAATTTTTTACGATATTTATAATGTGCAACATAATTTGATTTTTATGCTTACTTAAGACTCAGTTGTATTGTTCTTATGAATTTTATTCCTTCTCTAAAATGCTGACCATTTTTAACTATTCATAAATTGGAAAATAAACTGTAGTTTCTTTGTGATGTCATTCATTCTTTCTTATCCTTGATTTTTCCCCTCCTTCTGAAACACAACTCCAACTCTTTTTTGCCTCATGCATCTTTTTCGGAGAGGGGGGATTATTTACCGCCTCTTTTTCAGCAAGTCTGTTCTTGAAATAATTATCTAACCATAATTTTCCAATTTTTGTGGGTCGCAACCCAGTCTTTCAGTAATTCGATGGTGTCCCTCTGATATAAAGTGTACTATATTATATCGGGTTGGCAATAAAGTAATTTCAGTTTTCACTGTGAAATAAAATTAAATTTGTTTTATACAAAAAATGAACTTTAATCAATCGTGTATCTTCCATTCTATTCGAAAACTTTTTGCCATTTTTCTAGCAACTTCACGATTCTGTGCTTATAGAACTTTCAGTCTTTTAACAGCAAAAAATGCAACCCAGTGCCATTTGAGGTCATCATTATTTCTGAAATTTTTATCATTTAAGAAGTTTCGTAAATTTCAAAATAAATGACAGTACAATGATGCAATGTTGGGACTATATAGAAGATACAACATCACTTCCCAACCAAGCTCCAATAATGTGCTTCATGGTGGAATATGAATCTTTTGTGATTTGGTAATTCTGTTCTTTTCTCTTTGACTGTTTCCTCCAGTTTCAAAAGTTGCTGACAGTAAACATTTAAGTTGATTGTTTAGTTGCTTGGAAACACCTCAATGTACACAATATCTATGTAATCCCACCAAATTGACAACAGGATCTTTTTCTGTTCCAATTTAACTTTTGATATGATTTGTGCTGATTCATCGTACCTGGGCCGTCATTTTTTTTTCTATTAATGTTATTGTAGAAGATCAATTTTTTATCACTGGTGATAATTCATGTTAAAAAAGGGTCGATTGGTTCATGTTTGAAATGCATGTTGGAAATATTGATTCCATGTGTAAAATGAATTTCCTTCAATTCATGTGAAACCCAAATATAGAGCTTCTCAAAGAGTCATCTTATGTGATTTTCAGTTGTAGTATGTGATACATTTAATCATTTTTAATGTCTCACACAGTTATATGACTATTCAATTCAGTTATCGCTTTAATTTTTATTATCAACTTAAGAATGTCAACCAGAACATTGGTCACTTGTCTTGCCTTTATGAAAAAGTTAAAATATGTCAAAAATGTTTATTTTTGTACCTCGTGCTAAAATTGGCTGTAAAATAACAGTTGTAAAAAAAAATTCATGGATTTTTTTCCATAGCAATCTAAAAGTATAATCTGCCAAATCTCAAAAGAAAATATATATACAGTGGTGGCCAAAATTGTGGACACTTTTGGAAATTTTTATGTTTTTGAACTTTGTATGCTTATAGAAAATGTTACGTTTCACAAAATGCAAACTTGTATATATCATTTTAAAGAGAATTTATTACTGAATCAATACAAAACACAAAATTCAATATTTGCAATACAAAAAAAGTTATATCTATTTTAATATAAATAAAAAACACAGTTATGAAGTGGTTTGTAATGTCTAGCTTTCCTGGCCAATCACTGTCTTGTTCTAAGAACCAATCAAATGTTAGTAACTGCCAGTAGAAGCTGACATCATGTTTACACTTGAAAAAATTCATTATTTTGCTTTGTTCCGTAGAAGGAGGACCTGTTTCTTATACACTGCAATTACAAGTAGGAATTTTTGTAAAATTTTTTAATATTTAGTCAAGATCATGACATCAAATAAAAGAGTAGATTGGACACCTAAAAAGAGATGTAATATTATTGTGTTATGAGAAAGTGGTCTTTTCTGTGCTGAAATTGCAAGACAGGTGGGTGGTTCAGTGACTACATCTGGAGTCCGAAAGTTTCGTTTACGATATCAGGAGACAAATTCAATAAAAAAACAAAGAAGGAAAAGGCCAAAAAAGGTGCACCACATCTATTGATGACAGAAGA